CTTCTATTTGGATATACTGTATTTTAATATAGCACTGACTTTTTATGACAGTGACACTTATACACATACTGAAATTATAATAGTTATAATAGGGAATGCAAATCATCTGCTTACAGTTCGAATCATTGTGATTGTAATTTACTTATGGTAGACTGTAAATTATCATGGAAATGTTCCGTGATAGGACATATCGTAATCTGACTATTCTGTATTAGTCATTACATGTCTATGTTCGTAAATACTGTTGTCTGCATTAAGGGAGCAGTAGCTAAAATTAATATCTAATTCAGTAAATGATTCTAATGTTAATTGTATTAACTATGACTCATGAACTATTGAGGAATAGTATATAAATGCAGTATATCGTGAAATAAAGAAGAATTGTCCAACTTAGTGTTTAACGTAAAATACGAGGCGTTTAAGTCTTTGTGTAGTCTGCTAGTAGAGCAAAAGTGTTTGTGATAGTGCAGATATCGTTCCTTGATACGTGGTTCAAGGAATTGACTTATTGATCGTATATTGCGTTATCTTGTTGCAAAGCTGTTTTGTGACAAGAACTTACGAATATAATGATTAAAAGAGTGTCATTTTCCTAGAACATTGGATTTAATTATAATTATTGTACAGACCGTTTGTAGCTACAGCACTAAGCAGCACATTGTTCTCTCCTTTTCTGATTTAATAGTAACAGTAATAAACGGTAAATTGCTACCTTTAGTAGGTTGCCACTATTTCATTTAAAATTCATAACCTATTGGCTCAAGCAAGGAATACACTCTTCTTAACATAGTCTCTGAAGTAGCAATTTTTAAACTAAAGTTTCTCGCGGTATATTATTTTTGGGACCTGATTTTTATACAAGTAACTGTTATGATTATATTCTGTGCTAGTAATGTGGATCTAGCCTAATAGCTTTCTGCTATTACCAAGAGTAAGAGCGCGTACATTACTATGGAATTAAAAGTTTAAAAATGATATTAAGAAATCATGCAATAATGCTTTAATATATGTTGCATAAGGGTTCAACAACGGCCTATCAGCTAAATTCTCAAGAAATCTTTCAAGTAACAAGTTTGCAAGCCAAGAAAAATTTATAAATAGTTTTATATTGTTTATTGCTATCTAAAGGCTATCGTCTATCGATTATATCAGCACATATTTACGTAGTACATTTTGTATCCCAAGTAATCAACCGCTGGAAGATTCCTTTCATGAGCTGATCTTCGAATTACTGCAATAAAAGATGAAAATTTGTATCGTTAAATACTTTAAGACACTAAAATAACTCTAACTAGTGCTTTTTGCTACCATTTCAAATCAATATCATCTCATGTTTACGTATTAAAGTAACAGATAAGTTAATTTTATCTTATTTATATTTTTCACCTTATTGCTTTCAATCTTTTTTTTAAGCTTCTCTTCGCTAGCTCCTGTCAATTCGTCAATCTGTATGAGGAAATTTAAATGTAATAAATATCAGAATTACTGAGATGTTATTCTATCGGGTTAAAGCTATTACTGGTGATGTACCGATACTTGATTATACGGATAGCTATATTTGATATACTTTGGTTACTTTGAATAGACATTATCGTGACGCTAATATTAGATGATTGCTGACTACTATATTAGATATTGTTGATGACTAATAGTAGCCAGTTGACTAATTATGGTACCAGATTTATGTATCTAGAACACCGTAGTTGTTAAGATGCCCTTCGGAGAAAGGGCCTGGACGTAAATTGCAAAGTAGTGACATCTTAAGTAGAATAATTTAGATTGTAGAAAATAATGATGTACTATTACTGAAAAGTAATTTGTTTGATGACTCATGTCTGATCGAAGATTAATCAAGTCGTCATAAGTGGATTTAACGAAATTTTTATAAGAACTGCAGAGATGAGCTCAAGGAGAGAAAAAACTTCACTTCGGTTTGAGCTTGGAATAATTTAGATTTTAGACTGGGTTCTTGTAGTAATTAATTATTGCTCTACTATTCCTAAAACTTGCAATAAGAGCCATTTAGAAAATATCATTTAACAAAGAAAATTATCGTGAGACGCATTTATTACACTATGATGTACTCATTCTGCAAGAAAGTCTTTACTATGAGAGAGTAATTTTATAAAACCTTTTTTCCATTTTTGTAAAATTGAAAAGTTGGCATTGCACTGATTGCACAATCTTCGGAAACTTCCTATTTTAAGATATGATAATAGCTCAGCACTACTGATTAAGTAGAATGATTGGACAAAATAACGTGACCAAAACAGACTAAAATAACCATTTCCTCGATATTGAGGGCTTGAGAAAATTTCACATTTGTACTGTAACTATTAAAACTTACGGAGTTTTGATCCACGTCAACCTTCATAAATTTAACATCACTAAATTGCTGACTCATTTCCTAGATAGGGTAAATTGGGCAAAAGACCAGAAATTGTCATAAATCAAAGGCTTGTACTATTAATGCTAAGTCATTATACAGAAAATGAAATTATTACTAATATTTACCTCAAACTTTGGACTTATCATACGACATGGACCACACCAAGTGGCATAAAAGTCAATCACCACTAAAGTACTTCCAAATTTTGTAATTGCTTCATCAAATTCATCCTAGTAAGCCATTAAAATGATATGATTAGGACAATAAATTAACTTTAAGACAGCAACGATAGTTGTATGTAAGGAAATTTTTACAAGTAGCGAAAAAATCAATCTTTTTTCTGGATATGAATAATTTCTAAATGAATTTGTGGATTATAGCTAAGATACAATTAAAATATAGCAGTATATATATATATTTATTCCTCACTAATACAATTTTAAACGACAATTCAAAATACTAAAAAGAAAAGCCAAAAATGTAACTTTACCTTAGTCAGCAAAGGTTGTACGCCCATCTTGTCGATCGTTGAATAATTTGCTAATGCTGTACTAGTAATACAAAGTAAATTTACTCTTACTTAATGCTAGATTTTATAATACAGTATGAATTATATCTATTGATTAGCTACCGCTAAACCTACTTAGCAGTCGGTAGTATTTTAGAAACTTATATGAAACAATCTTATTATTAGTTATGAATAAAACGTTGATCCTTTTATTGGTTTGTTTTTATTTTTTATTTAAATTACTTCTTCATATGAAACCAGAATATGAAAGACCTCCACTCTCGTACTGATGACATTGTATAAAGTTGCATTGTGTTTTATTTCCTCTAGAGACGGTATCGAAAGGTCATGAAAAGGCCTCTTTTCGGCATTCTCTTTTGACAACAGTAATATGACGGCCTAAGGCTACTTTATCGCTTTCCTACCGTCTGGTATGATCTCAAAAGTACAAATGGGACATGGGACTTGTCGAAATAGTAATTTCTTCTTCAATAATAATCGAGAGCATTACATGCAAATAAAATTTGAAAAATCCATGGTTTACATTGTTAGAGAAATTGATGGAGTAGCTTGGACAGTAAGATCCGCAAAAAGATGCTCTTACTTTATTGAATTGTAGATGACTACTGCCGTGTTCTAATGAACTATACGGTGTTTAATAAATTTTAAATCACCTATCTTCTCATTTTTACTGATGCTTAAAATTATTCTATTACGATTATACACAAAGCTATCATTTTAATTGTATTATAGTTTTGAAATTAATCATCAATTTGTCAGAATTGGTCAAGATAATCATATTTGATAGTGAATTAAAATGATAATGTATAAGGCTATGCAACGCAATATACGATATTACCATTTTAGTTAACTACGGTACTAA